TGGAATGAGACAAATATGTGTAAGGAGCAGCCACAAAGATGAAATATCTACTGTACCTCAACACTTCTTACCTAATTACATGATTTAGGGACCTATCTCATAAGGGTTTCATAAGGATTATATTATACATGCTAAGGTCTTTGCACAGAGCCTAGGATGTAATTAATATTTAATAAATGGCAGTTATTGTTGACAATGAAAATGGCAATTTTATGAAATTCATATTTTGTATATGTTAACTATTATGCAAGCAGTCCCTACTCTGATTACCTAATACAGTTAATATAGTCAGGCCTTCCCACTTCCTGAATTATACAGACAGAAGCTGAAAACAAAAGAGTATTCACATATTAAAACAAGTCATTTGATTAATCAAGTTTGTGGTCAAAGAGACATTTGGTACATAGAGCTAATAATGCAGAAACTTGGAGGAAAAAAAGGGGAACATTCAAACACACTTTCCAGCCAAGGAAAAGACCCAGCATGAAAGCTGACAAGAAGTAAAACCTTTCCCTTGGAGCAATCGGTGACAAAGCCTTGCTTGGGAAAATGAAATATAAAGTTTCCATCAGATAGTACCCTTTTGTCTGTCCGGCCTCTTAAGCTACACAATCTCTCATGTAATAACATCAGTATTTTTTTTAACCTGATAAAAACAAAACTCCTTTACAAGCAAAGGAGATTTTGCCAGCAAATGTAAGCACATAATGTTGAGATCCTCGAAAAGCACAAGGACATGCTTTTACAATGGTTTAGGCTCCACACTCAATTTCCGTTCCTCCCACGATTAAGTCCTTGCAGTCTGAAAGTCCTGTAGTAGCTAAACATTACCTGGTTAGTCTTGGGCACATTTGGTGTACATGCTTGCTTCCAGTGCTTTACCTGATTTGAGGTGAATTCAAAAGACATCTGTGAACTCGGGAAGCAGGTTCCCAGATGCTCGGGGAGGGTTGGGACCCTTACAACACTTTTGCCTTCAGCAAAAATGTATTTCAATATAATTATAGTAGATAGCTTTCAATATGTCATCTCTATTATAGCAGCTGTAAATTATGAAGTGAATTGCCTGTGTACAAGCATTTCTTCTCGTACAAGCAAAGTGGGAGAGCGGCACAGGGCATGATATATCTTTTTCTTTTTAACTGAGAGCAAATGTCTAAGTCAAATTTCATTTGCAAAAACCATGTGTCCATTTCCCTTTGGAAGAGAGGTGGAGGAAGCCAGAAGACGCTCAGTTCTTAAAATCAGGCTTCCCAGGACCCTAGGCTCAAGTTCATTAGGAATTCACTTATTCTAATAGTTGGGCCCTTACTTGTAAGACTATATTTGAAAGGTAGTGTAAAAGCATTTTTCAAAACTTGTAGCTGCTCAACAAAAAGACAAAGAAGCAACCGTTTTTTTTTGTTTTTTGTTTTTCATTAGCCAAAGAGGGAAGCAATGTACCCCAAACGAAGTGTTGTAAGACAGGAGCTGCAAACTCTGGAAAATTATATATTCCTGTTGGGTGTCAGAATCAACAAGAGAAAAGTAAAATAGTTTTGTTTCGTTTTGGGTGGTAGTAATATTCAAGAACCTTACTGTACTATATATTCTATGCCTAATATTTCAAAAGTGTGTATAAGTGAATTTAGATGGTTATCATCAAAAATCATTTTATCTGAGCCTATGTAACGAAGACATATGATCAAAGGATATTTTCTGGAGGGAAAAAAAGGACAGGATTTTAAAGACCGTACCATTCCTAAAACACACACATGAAACCGAGCCTTGTGGCTTGGATTTAATTTTGCTCAAAGTGTAGCTCTAGTCTGCTTAGCTTTGTAAATGTGGCTGTGCTTATAAGGTACTTTAATTTACTGCAGTGGTAGTGTTTGTTAATTTTATGGCAATCTAAATCTAAACAGGCTTCAGATACATTTTCATTACAGCTTCGTTGCAAAACACAGTAGAGTGAATAGCTCTAAGATTCCAATGTAGTTTATTTCTCTCAGTAAAAGACTCAACACAATTTTCTGATGAATCCACTGCCTTAACATGTATGTTCTTCCTATTTACTAACAGGCTTCTGTCACTTGGAATACCTGTGTTCACTTTTAGGAGGAAAAATATGCTTTCTGGAAAGTGATTAAGATAGTTGTTTTTTCCAGCTGTATTCTGATCCCATTCTAAATGCAAGTCCACATGGGCAAATGAGAAACAACCAGAATGTACTGAATTATTTTCCAATTCTATGTAAGTAGCAAGCATAATTCAATGGAAATGGAAGGTATATTGTCAGAAATTGATTTCAATACCTGATTTGGGCACTAACCCATTGGACAAATCATTTAACTTGAGTCTCATTTTCTCATCTATAAAATAGAAATGATAATGCCGTCTATTTTGGAAATGCCATCCCCTCATCTCACTTGGTTCTGCTTAGCCCTCCTAGTTGCTCCAAAGCATATCCCTAGGAGGTCTATCCCAGATAAAGCCTACAACTTGTATACCAAACACTTGTAAAAAGCAAACAAACAAACAAAAAAACAATTGACTATCTTCTGTTAAAACTCACTGATCTAATAACTTAGGAACTACAGACAGAAGAGCTATAAAATCCAGCCCCAAAGACAACTCAAGAGAAATAAATGCTGCTGTGTTGTTTCTAGAACTGAAAATTCAGAACCTACAGAAGAAAATCTGTAAACTTAAATTCTGTTATTCAGCCAACCAGTCATCACACTCCATCTATTTATTTGTTCATAATACTGCAGCGACTTCATGTCTGTATTTTTCCTTCCGAAAGTGTTAAAAATGAGCAAGGAAATACATACTTAAACGGTTTTTATTAGGTTACTGAATATATTGGGAAATAAGATTCATCATTATACTCATTATTTAAATTTTAAACTCATTATTTCCCAATATGGTATTTAATCCAAAAATTCCAAATATACATAGTATAGATTAACTTATGAAGAACTTGTGTGTATTCTCAAAGGAAAAGCAAAGAAATCCCCCTGGTGACAGTGACTAATGACAGCCTCACCTAACTTCCAGCAGGGCTACAGACGAAGTTGATGTGAAGAACCATGGCAGGAGACAGTAAGGAAAATCACCTTAATTTCTGAGCCAAAAAAGTCGGGCCATTTGGTCCCTAATACTATATAGATCTTTCCATGCAAGGTGACTGGTGGTATTTATTTAGTAAGTATGTATAGATGTATTTAACAAAGTTATGCGATTAAGATTATGCTACAAATTGGAATCATTTTCTTCTGTTTATGCTCAGGGCAACTTTTTCAACCATGACTTATTTTGTTTACTCTCAATTATTCATATGTCAAATCAGAAAGCTCCATTTTTTTGCACATACACACACAAGATAATTTTTCCAAAATTCTTATTTGCACATCTTCCACCAAAAATTCCTACCAACGAGACTAGAGATACAGTTTGAGACCCCAGAAAGTACTATTCAGAAAAAAAAACAAACCCATATCTTATAATATTAATTTATATTATATTTTAACATAAAGCTACATAAATTTTCTACCCTTCCTCAAAACACACTCACCTCTGGAACAGAATCCTACATTTGCTTAATGCCACCACATCCAGAATACTTGAGAAGACAATGAAAAAAATGACATATACTACTGAAACTACGCAGGGAACTCAGAAAAAAAATCAGTAATAAAACTGACCAGGAGACCCACATCTTACTAAAGTGTTCCGACTTTAAGAAGTGCCTGACTGTACAGAGAAGTGTCTGTGGATGAAATGGTATGATGCCTAAGCCTTGCTTGAAAACACTCCACCAAAACCAGAACAAGGTAGGTAGGTAGGTAGGTAGGGTGTGTGTGTGTGTGTGTGTGTGTGTGTGTGTGTGTGTGTGTGTGTAATAGGCAAAATAAGGTTGGCAAAATACTGACATTATTTATCTGGGTGATGGATGTCCAGGCAGTGTCTTATTCTAGGTTGGGCTCTATAAAACTGCCAATACTGTTTTTGACCTAAAAACTTGGCAATTTCACAGGATTCAACTTAATAATGTTATCTTTCTTTTTGGACACATTTTTTTCCCTATAATAATGGTTTTTGGTTTTTTTTTTATTATCTGCTAGTGAGAATTCTTCAAACTAAACAGGATTTCAGGTTTACTAACAACTAAAATATGTTTAAAACAAACTATCAACATTTTACCTTATTTCATTGAAGCTAAGACTTAACTTCTTTTTTCCCACCTTTTAACATCTCTGAAGTTTGGAAGCATTTTATAGTCAACGGCATGTTATAGTTAAATAGGGTAGCGTTACTTTTCCTTAGTGGTACATAAACAGTGACACAACTTAAAATCAAAGATGCCTTAGATTCAGTGAAGTATGGTTAATGTAAGTGCTGAGAATAGCATTTTTAATCTACACTCTCTTTCTAATCAGGAATTTAGCACACAATGCCTAGTATTCCCAGCCCGAGGTTACCTAGAATTATCCTGGGAGTCTCCTCTTCAGAGAGAAAGGCCAGAGCCTGCTTGCCTTGTGACGGTTAGCTCCCTCCCCTATATTCTGGCACAATCCATTAGAATTAATTCCCAGGAGGATCTGGAGCTCACAGCATAGGAGGAAGAGTTCACTGTGCAGCGCTTCCTCTGAAAGTTGTTAAAACTCATGAACAAGGCCAGTGTGTAAATGTTAATTACCCCGAGCTTTGAAGGGCACCAAGCAGTGAGGTTAGAGGGGAAGGATGGTTGCAGGTGTGGTAGTAAGGGTGCGTGAATGTGAGCAATGGGTAAAACGAAAACAAGTGAATGGGATAAAATAGGTTCAGCTTCACCTCCGAAATCTCAAAGGGACTTCATTTCATGAATCCAGCAATTCACTTGGGTTTTTGCATTGACCTTATTTATTTTGCTCTTCGTGTTAACACCTACCCCTCACAGCCCTCAGAATTGGTTAGTGCAGTCTAATGGAAGAGCAACAGAGGGTTTGTGCAGGACTATGAGAGTGGCGGCTGCTGACCTGTTCATATTTCTCCAGTTCTGTGTGATAGATTTGTCTGATCTGGGTCAATTTGGCTCTGTAATCTGAGTGTTCAATAGAGTTATCTGAAGAACCTCCAGAGGCTGCCGCGGCTGCAGCTGCTGCCGCCGATCCCCCACCTTTCTCAGGACCTGAAACCCCTTCTGCCAAAAGCATATTGTCCAGTCTCATTAGCTGGGGGTCGGGAGGGTCCTCCTCCTGGGCTCCTCTGATGCTGAGACCTTCAAGGAAAGAGAGAGACAGAGAGAGAAGAAGCGAGAAATAGGACAAATAGTGTGAGTATTTTGTTTATTTGAGAAAATGATCAAACAACATTAGTGCACTACAATTCATGCTGAGAATTTCTTTGTTCACATTTACCAATAAGCGTGAGTATGAAAATTCTTTGAGAGAATATTTACATGCATCCCAGATTTCCTAATATTACACCCTCTCAATTTATCCTAGATTGGATTGCTGGAAAAAGGTAACTGCGGCTCAGAATATTCTAATGTCAATCTTCCCAAATTTAGATGCTTTAAGCATAAAATGGGAAGGGGGTAAAAACTTTGGGATTTTGAGAGGACAAAAATAATTCCAAGGATGTCAAACAAACACGTCTAAAGGTAGTTATTCTGTTTTTTTTTTTTTCCTGTATGATTGGAAGAACAGAATCTAAAAATCCCATGGAATAATTCATTCACAAACTATATCCAAAAATTAGAAAATAAACAGAATTAGACGGGAGTCTCCATTGTATAATTTCAAGGGGAGAAGAGAAATTCATATGTTATGAAGTAATTAGCTATGCTTTAAAAGTATATATTATTGAAAAAAATATATATATATATATACTAGTGAATGAATTTGTTAAGCAATCTATGCAATCAGGACCCTAAATATAGTATTAAAAATGTACCATTGAAATGGCAATCCAGTGCTGGGCACAGTAGTCTCCATGTAATTTTGCTTTTAAATCAAGAACTTCCTAAGTGATGCCCAGTCAGCAACCTCATCTGAGAACTATAGATCACAGCTGACAATTCATAGGTTTAATCAGGTCACACAGGCTTTCTGCCAAGATGTTTTCAACAACACAGAAGACAAAGTTTTAAAATAATTATCATGGTATAAAAAGCACTGGAGTCATGACAGCTCAAAATCAGCATTTTCATTAATGTGTAACATAATCTAAAATATCCCAGCCCAATTAACCTCTGTAAATCTGTTTAAAAGCAGGTTCCCCACACTTAGTTACAAGGCATCTTGGGGAAGGGGGAGGAGGGGAGTTGGCATCTTGCATGTCGGCATTTGGATGCTGCCTTTTTCCTCTGTGCCTGTTGTTGTTTATCCACAGTGGTGCACACTCTGTGTCTAGTGTAACTTACATGACAGTAACATCTATAAGCTGCCAAGTACTCAGCTGAGCACCAGCTCCGTGATTTTATATGCTAACCTAAAACTACCATCAATTCTTTTAAGAACAGATTTCATTCCTAGATGTCCTGAATTACACCCACAGCATGACAGAGCTCTTGGTTGTCTTAACTCAAACACACAACTTTAATTTCCTCCCTCAAAACACTTTAAAGCTGTCACTTTCATTTAAAAATATACTTCAGAATAATTTCAACTGGGTAATAAAACTAACTCACAATAATTTAAAATTATATCTGGTGCCTGTTCAGAGGTAAATAAATAAGGTTTGAAAACTGTAATATACTAAGACAATAAATTCATTTAGGGAACCAGAAAGTTAGATAACTCTCTAAATAAGATAAAATCAGTATCAACATTGCTGCTAATCAAAAATAGAAAAACGTGTATTTGCTATTTCTTCCAGATCTGGCAAATACTGGTTACACTGGTATTTTTAATTTCACATCTTTGATTTTCTTTCCATCCAATTCACTTTGTTAGATGTTAAAATCTCATGGCTTTGACACACTTGTAGTTCCACATACTAAGTTTTTTGTGCATCTGGCATGCAGTGAGGACTCACTGAGCAACGTCTTGTCTTACATTTGGACTCAGCTTCTAAGTTTCTCCTTCTTAAACTAAATGTTTGCTCACACTTTCATGTGTTCATTGTTTCTTTTTTCTATTTATACAGACACTGGTGCTTCTCCAGAAAAGGTGATTTTTTTATCTGCCCTCAAGATTCCTCCAGGTTTCTAGTTTTCCACCTTGTACTTAAACATATTGATCTTTTCCCTATGGATATTTGGTGAGGTTCTTTAATAGCAGATCAACATCCACAGTCAAAATTATTACACTTCCCTGCACAAGCGTGGCAAACAACATGTTCAGTGACTTAATACACAAGGAAGCAGACTATTAGGGAGACAGAAGAAGGAAATTCATCAGGAAGAAATGCAAAAGACATGACACTTTTATACATTCCTAATATGCATTCCCAATACCACTATACCAACAGGAAGCAATCCTTAAAGTCAGGAGTAGTGGACACAAATAAAAATAATTATAAGAATGTATTTTTAGCTGGTATAATATTTTCCCCTTGTGATGAATAATATCTCTTCTAAAATCATAACTAAATCAACACTTCAGTGTTTGCCTCAAATACAGGAAAAATGTTTGAATGCAATCCTTCTGCGTTTACTTTATAAATTATGTGCATCACATCTAATCAGAAAAATCATTTCCTAACAAAAAGTTCATACTCCTTTGGATGAAAAGTACTAAAGCACTGTATAATTAGGCAACATTGAGAAGGCTATTTATCAATACTGAAGTCATTTTCATACCTATAGTTGGAAAAGTGAATCAAATTTCTTTCTCTACTAAGCAAAGTCATGATTACGGATCTTTAAATAGTTAATATCTAGTCTCCAAAATTATTGTTAATTTGAATATTTCTATTCATATTACCTTACATTCAAGATTGCTATTTTATTCCTCGTCCCGTCTATCTATACACCCACTATTACTTAGCTTACTAACCTGCCAAAGTCACACACGGCTTCCAATTATAACACCTACTCCTCTGGGCACCTATAAACATTTTAATGAACCTAAATCTGCAAGGGCCAGAACGAATTCGACTGTGTAGTTACCAAAATATCTTGATATCTTCAGATTTAAAGTTGGAAAAGCGGTAATTTAAAAATTGCTCATTCTTGTTTTTAATCCGAAACGCATACTAGAACATTTACAGAGATTTGTAAAGTTTTACATCTAGGTTCCTTGGTTATAACAGCATTATAAAGTTAAAAAACCACCACAGCCCTATTTGCAATCTACTTATAACCACAACATTCATTTCAGTATCCCTAAGATTTAGACAAATCATACAAACACAGTAAAACATTGTTTAACAATGAACTTGGCTTTGTTATAAGCCCACAGTTTTTGCATATCTTTCAGCAAATCCTAATTAGCTGTCTTTCAACATGCTGTGCACCTGCCCCACAGATAATGGGAGAGAGCATCTGCATAGACGACTGCATTCGGAGGGCAATAAATAAATTACGGGTCAAAATTATTACAAAGCTTTCTCCGAATAAACGCATACCCTTCACAATACTAAGCTGCAGATGTGAAAAGTACCTAAAGCCCACTCAAATGGTATGATTACGGGGCTGTTTGAGTTTAATAATCTGACCGTAATTCAGGCATTTTCAACAGCTCATTAAGGGTTCATTAATATATAGGCAAGCTTTTGAATTATAAATAAGCAGATTAGAAATCTGCAGTGGCTGGATGGTACAGTAGTAGCCTCTCTAACAGAACAACTCTGTAATACAATGAAGGCTTGACCCAAGAGAATGAGGTGCAAACACAGGGCACTAACTAAGCTTCATGGTTCCCTCATTTCAAGGACCAAGCCCACTGGACCATGACAAACCTCTGTTCATCCAGGACTAAAGAGTGGCTTCAGACCATGGCTACTTCAAATGTTTTCTACACATAGCAATGAATTAGGCACGACTAAGAGCTAGCTCTACGATATTTCCAGAATCAGGAAAGGCACATTATATGTATAAGTAATGATAAATAAAAGTTATCAGATCATTTTTACTTTGTAAAGAGTTTGTTATTCAGATCTGCTGAGAAACAAAAAGCTATTATGGAAACTTGAGTTGTTTGATTCCCCCACCCTACCCCACCCCCCGCCTAATGAGCATGCCATAAAACCAGATCCCAAATTATTCATAAGCTTAGGGCTCTGAAATCTCTATAATTTTGTTTTCTGATGGACTTGTTCTCGAATCATTCAACTACCACACCAGTGTTAGCTCAGAGGAAAATGTTTTAGCAGTGACACGTAAAACGAGGCCAGATCAGATATTTTCAGCAAGCCCTGAATTCTTGGCTGCTTTGAAACCAGTCACAATGCTAATACTTTCTGTTTTCCTTACAATTTCCCATAGATTTTATTTTGTGTCTGTTATTTAAAAGTAACAAGTAGGATTATGGTCTGTGGTTTTAAAGATGATTAAAGAAAATACCAACTTTGTTTTCTGTGCTTTCTGCATTTTAAATAAAGTTGGCTTCAGCTTGATATGATATACATAACCCAAATTATAAGGAACAAAGATTAATACAGACAGGTTGCTACTTTTCTCCCCAAACGTTAAAAAAGGTAAAATATTTTTCTGTGAAATCCTTTAAATAAGAAGCAGTTTAAATAGGAAACAGAAGAGCTGGAAATGAAATGAAGGTCACAAGCCCCATGGTTATAAGATCTCATTTGAAACAATTACTTTTCGTTGTGAAAAACTGGAATATAATTTGGAAACAAAGTAGAGAAAGACACTGAGAAATCCCTCAAGGCACCATTATTGAAAGTAGACTTAGGTATGGGGGTGGAGGAGGGGAGGTTGGGGTTCTCAGACAAACAATGGGTGGACTAGAGATAAAGCTAAGGCCAAGTCCAGGGAAGGCAGAGCCTTGAGTGGGGTCTGACTGACAGACAAAAAGAAAAAAGAAAAAAGAAAGATCTGGAATAATATTTGCACCTGATTTCTCACTCTCCTTCTTAGGACTAAAGATGAGACTTGTAATGAAAGGGAAGAATCCTATTATTTTGTAGGTATCAGTAGAACCAACTGTAAAAACAACTAATTTTTAAAATAGTATGAGGAAATGACAGATGATATAGTTGCCTATCACAACTCATGGCCCCATGCCCATCCCACTCTAGCTCCAAATCTCCTTTTAAGCCAATGTTAGTGTCTAATCCACTGAATATGGCAGTCATATTACAAGCTAATGTCAC